CTCCAGTGCTACTTGAAGCCCCTCTACCTGGAGGGGTATCCAGCCAGATTAGCACCTCTCAGCACACCGTGGGCTCCTCACCACGTTTCACAGCCCCTCATTCCACAAGCCCCAGCCCTTTAAAATCGTGTCACTTACACAGTACTTAACGTGTTACCTCCAATATTGTCGTCTTTGCTGTCTGCAGGCTGAACACCTGGAGTTTTCATTTCTTCGAGGTTTTTTTTTTGCCCTCAGATCCTCCTTTTGATCATTCTACCCCCTGATACTGATCCTGAGGAACTTGTGAACTGAGCCTCGAATCCCTTCCACTGACAAAAGCAGCACAAGTCCCAAGCCTTTCCTCCTGCCCACTGTCCTACCAGTGCATAGCAGCAGATACTTCCTCTTTAGAGGACCCTTTTTAATTCCAGAATGCCTTTCTGCAGTTGGCTTCCTTAACTTCATTAGTGACCATCACCTGCTGCTTTTTTGCACGTGGCTTTAATTTCCTGCCCTGCCCTTTTTTGCCAAGCTTTCATTTCTCCTGCTGAGCCCTTGAGGAAGAGAAGAGCAAGGGCAGGGCCATCCCTCTGAGGAGGGACTAGGTCTGATGATGGCCAAGAGAATCCTGCTGTGTGTATTTAGGGATGCTCCATGTCTGGGCAGGGAAGCCAGCGTTAACTGTTTCCACTCCATGGGAAATGGCATTCACTCCCCGCTCTCACTTGGCATTCCGTGTCTTCTGTGTATGACCAGGACTAAATCCAGGAGAGAACTCATCTGTTTTCCCACTAATTAATGCTACCACAACCCGAAACTACCTGACTCCTTGATGCCTGATGTTGGACGAGAAATGTGCCTTTAGAGTTAGGTTCTTACACTCCCTGTGTGGGTACTGGACAAAGGGGTCTTTGAATGAGCACCCAAACAAGCCAAGTGCAGGCATTGAATCCAGCCCTTCCCACGGCCTCCAGGCTTTTCCCTCTGTGCTCCCATCCCCATCTCACCCTCACCCTGCTGAGTTTGCTGCTGCCACGCTGTCTCCCATCCCTGTGGTTCCATCTGCCTCCCCTCGCCTGCATCACCGCACCATCAGGCTCGTTCACACCCCACTGCTCCTCTTTGGGGAAGGACACACACCCATTTTTCTTCTCTTTTGATTCCTCCCCGCTCCCCTGTTTCTGTCCCAGTCTTACTCCTGTCTGCCACATCCACAGGCTCAGCTCTCAGCAGTTCCTCCCTTCCCTGCCCACCCTCACCCTGCGCCATGTCCATCCCCTGTGTCAGACCCCATTTCCCCACACCTCTTCTGCCGAGCAGTGTGACTGCAGCTGCCTTGGAAACTACTTTAACAGGTGTATCCCTTAGTACCTGGATTAATATACCTGCTTATCTCTTCTCCCAGAGATAATTTTTTACGCTATAAATTAAATAGGGGAGGAAAGTCAAAAGCCAAAGGAATAGATTTATTTTTCGATGCTCTCAGTGGAAGGCCCTGCAAAGGCACATTTCAGAGCACATATATAATTGCACAGATGATTAGTGAAGCAGCTGGGGCAGTGGAACACAAGTAAGGCTGCAGTAATTTGTTGAAGCAGTTTATCAGTATGGCTGAAAATCATGTCCCAGTTGTTCTACAAAAGCCTGCCCTGTAAACCCATACATTTTCTTACCAGTTCCTTGGCTCCTGGGCACTTTTTTTTTTTTTTTTTTTTTTGGTTTCCCATTGTTCCAGAGTAGCAGCAAATAGACATTTTGCCGGGAGGGGCAGGGGATGGAAACACAGGCATGTGAAATTTCTTGTTCTTGCTGTGAACACAAGAGCCTGCAGGGAAATTGCACCGACTTGTGGTGCCACTGCCCCTCACGGGAGCAAACGGGTCAGGGTAAGGTCTCGAGTCAGCTGGAGCTCTTGAGTCAAGGAACAGAGAAAACCTGTCTTGTGTTAAGAAATTTTTATTTGTCCTTTGGATCTGTAATGTAAGCACATAAAATTACAAGTGGAAGAAACATCATGCCACAAAATTGCATAGAATTTTTACAAAAAATGTGAATTATGCCTCCGAAACAATCATAGATCGAGGAACCGAAAAAATATGTACATGTTAACTGGAGTATTTCATCCTAGTTTGAAAGCAAATCATCAAGGACTAATCAATCACGGACACTATTAATACAATGTACAAGAGCAACACTGATTTCAAAGAAAGGCAAGCAATGATGTCCCTTTAGTTATCTTTCAGTGAATGTTTAGCTAATACATGAGCATTAATTAACATAATTATGAACATGTTAAATCTAAAATGTCTGGCCTTCATAAGAATTTTTAAAATTCTGTTTATACTGCCAAAACCAAGCTATTTTCAGTAGTGTAAAGATATCTGAAGTGCACGACCTAGTTTAATATAGACAGCTCTATTCTATACAGCAGAAAAGTCCACAATACAGCATTTCCACACATTCAACACGGAACAAGGCAAATACATAAAAGGCACAAGACTCGCACATCATAAAGACCCTTTTTTTTTGTTTTGTTTTGTTTTCATTATCTTACTCTAGTTCAAGTAATATCAATATTAAATGATAATCTGTTTCACCGAAATAGTCTGAAGGATGCAAGATGTACAGGATTACACACTACCCTACACCTGCAGAAAGTGGCACTGTACAGATATATAAAAAATGTGAGTTACAGGAAATGGTCAAATACAAACGTACTGTAAAATGACTACAGCCGAGAGGATATTCCATCCACGTTGGTTTTATTTTTAAATAGAAAGAAAAGCTTAACTGGCGTTTGCCCGAGTTTCTCTGAAGGCCGTGGCGAGGTCCTGGCTCCGCTGAAGGCCCCGGGAACGTAGCACGGGGATTCAAGGGAGCCACGATTTTACCACGAAGCCCATTCTGTGCAACTGTTTCTATAATGCAACAGCCCTCAGTTTTAGTGTGAACACTGCTATCAGCTTCTTCTTTTAATAATTTAGGCAACGTGTCATTTGTACTTTTTATAAAATGCAGCATTACATCTTGACTCTCTACGTTTTCAACGAGTGATTAAGATTGATTTCAAAAAGTGCAAAACAAGGATTAACAGAGGATTCACCTTTCCTAGCTTTAAGATGAAAGTCAGATTTTTGAATTTCATGTGCACTGATTTCATCATCATAAACCAGAACAGTTTAATTCAAAATGTGATCGATCTCCAAACGATGTGCAATTTTTCTTTCTTTCTGCTCTTAAGTTTAAAAAAAAGAAACATCAAAATACTGCTCGTTTTCCAAGATTTGAACTTATATATATATACACCATCATTTAACTGAAAACTTAAGCTCGATTTGTATTTTATTGCTTAAATTTAAATAAAATAAGTTACTTTAAGTACTAAAATCCTGAGGGAATGGAAGTAAGGTAACTGAATTGTTACAATGTGTTAAAATGCCTCGCTGTGTAACTGATTGCTTTCTCCCACTGCTTTTCCATACTAAGTAAGGCCCCGATCTTGCAAACTGTGAGTGTGAAGGTTCCTCCCCAAACAGCTCCTGAGCCCGGGGGTGCCCAGGAAAACACGAGTTTGCAGGACCAAGCGTCTTGAGGCAAATCTGCGTCTTCTGAGCTGGTCCCCCCTTTGCCCTAAGGCCGAGGGGAAGGACTGCATTGGCTTGGGTACAAATAAGGATCTGTCTGAGATGTCTCTCAGTTCCTGTTCCTGTCAGTATGGGAGTCCAGAGAACAGCATTTCCTCACCTTTTCAAATATCCTGACTTTCACAATGTCTCTCTGTTGCCTGGTGTAAATTTCTCAGAATGTGCTGTTACTTCTCTCACGCGTATCATACACTAATAACCTCGATTGTTCTTATTTTAACAACTCAGTTCAACGGATTAATACACATTTTTAAATAACAGTGATCAGGTTTTTTTTTTTATATATTTTGCTTTTAAATTTCAGACCTTAGTAAAGCTGAACCTCAGTCTTAAAAATAATGGAAGATTCTGTTAGGTTTCAAATACTGTAGTCCTAAACATTTTTTATCACCCTATCAAATTCAGTGAGCTTAAAATAGGATACTTAAAATCAATACTTTCGAGTCTGCAAAATATATATATATATCAAATTTATATTCTAAAACTACTTTGATTTACAACACCTAAAACACCACGAAAAGAATTCTGTGATCCGACGATTATCCCGTTTAGCAGTACAGCCCAGACGTCAGCCTTCAGAAAGGTTCGCTCCACCCACGCATCCCTGAAACATCCCATTTGGCAGAGAGATAGAGAGAGAGAGAGACCACATCAACCTCCAACAGGAACATGCTGTGTGTGTAGATGGACAGATGTGTGTGCACATATAGCTATATATATATATATATATATACAAACATATATGCACTCACACAGCGTAACAAACACAGACGGGCACCGACAACCTCCACGCAGGGCTCTTCTCTCCGTTTGCCTCCTCCTGTCCCCACAGTTCCAAGGATTTTTCAGCAGCAAATACGCGTCTCCCCGTGTGATAAACGTACTAATATCGAGACAGCAAGCCACCAGTGCTTGCAAAAGCTAAAAAGGATTAAATGTTTCAGTGCAAATGGAAAAAAACGACGGTACAGCTTGTCAAGGTGCAGTTATAAAGAAGGAAACAAATATGATTTAAGTACTGTTATAATATTCTCCGGGATCTCTGTTAGTTTGGAGCACTTTGCACTGGCACTTCAGAAGGAAATCTGCACACATTTGTCTCCGTACAATACACTGGTCTTCATTAAACATTCTCAGCAGTGAACATGGCCAGAAAATTACCCATTGTAAATTGGCCCAGGAAAAAAAAAAAAGGAAAAAAAAAGAAAAGAAAAATAAAGAGGAGAGGGTGGTTAACATATTAATTTTCCCATTACAACTGCACTAAGCTCCAGAAAAATAATCAGGTGACGAATGAGAACGAAGACCTTTGCAGGACACTCTATAAAACGTTGCTTTGGGGAAGTGTGCGCTGCAATGCAGATTCCTGGTGGCTCCCCCCGGGAGAGCGGAGCCGGCAGCCGGCAGTGCCGTGCCCTGGCACACCCACACTGTCCCTGGGGCAGTTAAAAAGTAGTATCAAACACTTTCTCGGGGTTATCCTCTTCCAATTCCTCCTCGCTTTGCGCAGGTTTGTGATTGGATTTTCCACTGTCAGGTGCCAGGGAAGAGGGGGCAGAACTGTGGTCTCCATCTTCACTGATTTTCCCTTTCATGGCTTCCTGTACGAACTCCAGAATTTCCAAGGGCAGTCTTTTGAATTTGTCTTGGTACTCCTGATCAAGTTCCACCTGCAACTACAACAAAAGAGACAAGCTGTCTTCAGGTGTATCCAGTGTGGCCAGTGATACAGTACAGGGAGAGTACCACACCAGGAGGGAGGGGGGTATAATTAACAACACATTATTGCTACTCAAGAAAATATATATATATATTTTTTTTTAATATTAGCACCAAGCATCCAAAGCTCCCATTAATTTCCATGCAGTCATTGCAAAGCTACAGAAAACGTGCGGCCGTTGGTGCGTTAGGGCTGGCTTTGGGTACCATCCCTGGCTACCCAAATCCTTCCGACTTTTATGTGGATTTAACTGTGCTGGGGTCCATACTCCCACTGGCTTTCACAAGGCCCAGTTCGAGTGCAGTATGGATCACGGGTAAGCCTTGGAAAGAGCAAGGCCTTTGTTAAGCTCCAGGTAGTTAATCACACATGAATCACACCACAAACGCTGCCCTGAGAACAATGTAACGGCTTTTGCCAGATTTCTTGGGTAGGAGAAGCCATTAGGAAAAAGTCAGCTGTCAAAGGGAGTCCAAGAGGGAGGGAAAACAAGTTTAAATTACATTTCTTAGGGCTGGATTGTGGAAAGTTACATTATCTGATTAATGCAGTATGTGTCTTGGACATTACTGGGGAAAAAGTGTCGGATCATCAACAGGATGCAACAGGCATGCAGAAAGAAATCTGGCTATCGGTCTTCAGGAAGCAGTGGGTCCTTTCCCAGTATTTATTTGTACAGCCTTTGTTTTTAGTGCCCATATTAGGATCTGCACGATCCATTATTTAAAAAAACGTTAATGTGTATGAAGGTTTCCACTGAAGACAAAGCCAATTTTTTCATCATGACCAATATGAGCACAGCAGGAAGCAAAAGGGGTGAGTTCCAAAGCCAAATCCGCTCCATCCATCCATCCATCCATCTACCCACCTTCTGGAAAAGAGGGAGTCAGGTTCTGCTAACTGTAGCTGCAGCAGTTTTGCAAAAATTCCTTAGGTAATTGTGTTCTCAGCTACGTATTTTTCCCACGATTTCCAGGATAAAGGTGCTACGAACTCTGATCCTTCAGCTCTGTGCTTGGGTCCCTCCTGTGTAGTTCCAGGTCTCCTTCACCCCACTGCAACAGCTCTCACCAGGAAATGCAGAATTTCACTTGAACATCGGGACCTATACTAGTCTTTACCATCCTTGACCTGTCCACAGCATGTGACTTTACCACTACCCCTCCCTCTGAGCCCTTCCAATCCCATTCCCCATGCTTCTGTCCTGGTTTTCATCCTGCATCTCTGACTTTATTTTTGTGAGGCCTCTTCTCCTTTCTCCTGATGTGCAAATCGATGTCCTTGGCTCACCCGGTCTAGTTCTACATTCCTTAATTAGACAAATTCCGCAGCTTTTCTTCCTCAGGACCTAAGATCTGTCTTTTCCTTTTGGTTTCCCTGCTAATGCTCTTTTCCTGCCTTGTTTCTGGCAATTTTCCTGATGTTCTGGCCTCGGTTGTGCACCTCAAGATAAAACCCCAGTCTGAGGCACAAGCAGCTCCATTAAAATACACCCTGCCTCTAAAACACATCTCTCTATCAACTGTTAGCCACTACCACAACATCCTTCTCCTTTTCCTAACTCCCTTTGTTATCTGGCTTCAGGCCTAGATACAAATTTTTGAAGGGATCTTCATTTTTGTCAGCGTTTTGCTCTCACTGCCACAAGCGCAGGCGTTCCCAGAGGGAACAGTGCCCTAGCGTGGCTGGCAGGGAAAACTCGCTAATGATCATCCTCCCTGCCTGCCCAGCTCATCTCCTGCAGCCCAGGGAGCTCCACGCTGGTCAGAGTGACGGCAGCACAGCACTCTCGTGGGTCACACTGCAATCCAAGGATTAAACTTCAGGGAGAAAGCTCTACCTTTGTGGTGCAGCTGTGCTTCGGGTCACAGCTCATGGCTACAGACCCACCCTGCTCAACAAACGGGAGGGAGGACGGAGGGGAAGGGGGGCTTATTTGTGATGATTACCCAGAGATGCTATCGCAGTCAGAGGGAGATTTATGGCACTGGTGGAACAGAGCATTCCTTGGATGACTCTGCAGCTCACTGTGCACCACACACCCCAAGAGCTCCTGCCTTCCCATGCTCGGGAACCTCCAAAGCCTCCGAGCTGCCCCGACTGAGCACCCCACAGAGCCAGAGCTCCTGCAGGGAGAGGCAGCTCTGGGTGCAGGGGTTTTTATAAATCTAGGAACTGGGGAAAGGCTCCAGAGCACCGGAAGACAGAGCTTTAAAAAATGGCGTGAATTCCCTTACAGAGAACTGTCCAGGCCAGAGACTGGTCTGCTGCCTTTCCTCACCTCACTGTCACACGTGGAATTTGTGAGTTTGGGGCACCTCAGGAATAGAAGGAGGTGTGTAAAACTGTAAGTCAGGGAAAAGTCTCCTGGCTCTCAGCTTCCTTCAGAACCTTGATCTGCTTAATTAGGTTTAAGAGCAATAGAAATATCTGAAATCCCTCAGAAACTGAACGTTATCTGAACCCAGTGCAACCATAAGCATGTTGTTAGATAACAATTGTGTCTAATATTCACCTCCTAAAGCGCCTCCAGTGGATAATCCCCCCTAAGTCGAGCGTTTAATAGGAATGACATGAATCTGGAACTACCTTTCTCTCTTCAGTGTCTCTAGAGACAGTCTATATAGATATCTAATCAGAGAAGGGTGAATTTAGTTGAGAAGGAGCAGACAGTAGACAAGGAGGGTTGATTAAAACTGCAGCAGTGGGTAAAAATTAGTTTTCTTTCCGATTTCAAAGGCATTGTCACTTCCCCTTGCTCAGCTTCTGAGAAGCCCCTCAGATCCCATTCCTTCCCTGCCCCCCAGGCTGCCACACAGGACTCCACCTGCAACAGGGAGCGAGCCTGGGCACAGCAAGCCGTCCCACTGCCAGACCTGACCCTCAGAGAGCCTGGGGCTCCCAAACCCAGAGCAGTCCCACAGTGCCTTGACTTTGCTCCTCCTCAAACCATCAGCCCCTGGAACAACGCTGGCAAACAGCTGAGGGTCAAGGGTAAAGAAACAAGCTGCCTGCTTAAAAACCAGCTGGGCCCCAAAAAAATCCAGCTGTTTTTCTTTTAAAAACCTCAGTGCCCTTCTGTATGTTCTGTGGCTTTCCAGGGACGTTACAGTTCATGGAGATGAGTGGAAAGCTGCCCTCCCAGCAGCAGCAGCAGCAGTCACATACATCTGTTATTTGGCTTGCTGACAGCGAGACAAAGTGCCACGTTAGGGCTGAAGTAAAAACCTCTCTGCACAACCAGCACCACCAGGCTCCAGCCCAGCGTGGCATAACTGCTCAGTCTGCTGTCCCCTCGGGTGGCTTCCCATCACAGGTCCACCTACCCCAATTTCTCTGTTCTCTAGCTGCTAAACAAGGTGACCTACACTTGCTTTTAGGATTCTGGAGTCAGACAAGGGGGGGAATTGAGACTGACGATAAGACAGGCAGATCGTTATCTGGACCACTGTCCTCATTAACACATAACAACCTCCTTCCTTCTGTTATCTCCCTCTCTGCCCTCCAACAGATCCTCTGTCCTCCCTTTAACCCCCAGCAAAACCAGCTCATTAATGTCACCTCTGTGCAGTTTCGGGATCCCAGGAGCAGTTGGCCACCGTATCTCTTGTTCAGGTAAATCTCACTCCCACGGCCTTTACTTACAGGCAAGGAGTTAATACGTTAAAATTCGGAGCCGTCATTAAGCAGGGTCTTTGGGGACAGGAGATGAATGTGTCAGTCACTGCTGACAGCTGTGGCCAGAAGCAATGAGTCTTGAGCGTGTGCTTCTATCTACCTGCTCTTTATCTTTTTACTGACAGGGACACACCAGGAGCAGGGGTTTGCACTCCAGAGCTCCCGGCAGCCAATCCAGCTGCCCAGCTCATCCGCTCACAGTCCCTCCCAACTCAAAGGGCTCTCCCGCACCCTCCGCCACAGCTGCTTTCCAGAAAGGGTCACCACTCAGGAAAAGGCCTCAAAACCCTTCCTTGGAATGTGGGAGGGGACAATCATTATGGTCCTTCAGCAAGGAAAAAGCACTCAGAAAAGGAAACAGATGGGATTATTAGCTCTGTTTGTATTTATATTATAACAATAACCTGGCTGTTATAGTTAAAACTAACGACTGAACAGCAGAACACAGCACTAAAACCAGCTACTGTGATCAATAGGGAACTAGAGAGGCAGAGGTTGTGGTTGTAGATGATCCTGACCAAGCCCCTGTAGACTTTCACATACTTGCACCGTGATCTAATGAACTTCTGCTTCCACCAGGAACAAAAATAAAACGGTCACGTGGAAAACTCAGTGTGCTGCCAACACGAGCTACCAGGAGGGCCTGGAGACAAGAGGTGGATACACAGCTGGTGGATCCGCAGCCCGGCTTCCACCTCACCTCCTGCCCCTCCCTCCGGTCAGCCCGAGGGAAAACATGTCCAACCCATCTCCCTTCCTGCGGCACCTTTGAAGTGCTCAGTGGGAACGGTCCTGCTCCTTCCCGCTGCACCCCGAAAGCACCGTTTCGGAAGTCAGTCACCCAAGTGCTTCTCCAAACAGTTTTCCCCTCTCTTCCTTCCCCAGGCACCACATGCTTGGTGTGTACACCGTTCTCCTGATGGAAGATCCCATGCCAGAGGCAGTTTTCCGATGCAAACCCACCCCACGGGCTGGGATTCATTCCAGCTCCTGTGTTTTTTTTAAAAAAAATATTTTTTCAACTCAAAAACAACGTAAGGGTCACCACTTAAGAAGCATCTAAAGAATTAATCTTCAACCAAAGACGTTCTGAGGAAGTTATGTATGAAATACAATTGGTCACACATTTTTTCTGGGGAAAAAACCCACTAAAAAGCCATTTTGTTGAATCTAAAGCATTAAGTATGGCCATAATTGTTTTGATGAAGCTCTTCCTCTCCCAAAATTTGATACGAGTCCAAATAAGTCACTTTTCTAAGTCTCAGATTTTTCATTCCA